CGCTTGTTACCTGGGCGATTTTCTGTCTCTCTCGCACTGGGTGCCCTTGAACGGGGCACCGAGGGTGCAACCACTCTCGGAGGGTCGCGGGAGAACGCGATGCGCCTTTGCCGCAGAAACAACGCAAGTCCCGCCTGGCTATTTTCGTTCTCTCTCACCAAATGTGTAGAGTTAGAATCGAGTTGCAACCTACTGGATAATATTCATACAGGTTACTCAATATACATATTCGTCGATCACTTTACATCTTTAGTATAGTCCCTAGTGGCCCCGTGTCCACTATTGAATTTTTTTTTATCCACCAAGAATAAGATTTAGGAGCTAAAATTTGGTGCATTCGAGGATTTTAGACTTGTAGATTAAAGGAATAAATTTTCCTTCCGTCAATGTTTTCTAGAAGGGGTCAAAAATAGCTTTTTCAGCTTTTCCCTCTTTGGTTTCCCCTAGTTTCCCCGTAGGAGTCTTGTAAAAAGTTAGAACATGATGTCATACAAGATAGAGACAGTCTCTTTACTCTATGCTGATATGTCATAACCTCAAAACGAATCTTCTCTCTCGATATCAAACGTCAACAAATCATAAATCAAATCATGTGAACTCGAATGTGAACCACATCTGAACCCGACATCTCGGCTTTTAATAGCAGATATGCTCCTCTTCCCGGCTGAAGAGTATCTATTTGAAATTTAAGGATATCGTTTCGATTAAAAGGTATTTTGAATTTCTCAAATTAATGGTATGAAGCTGTGGCAAGTTCGGCAGGCGCTCCAGGCACTGTCCACTTTCAAACTGAATTAGCTGCATTTTCCCTGAAGTACCTTTAAAATAGTACTAATCTTCCATTCATATCAGTAATGCCTTTCATTCTATGTGAGATGTATGTTTTTTACAGCAAACTTTCAGAGATCTCTTTACGCCCAGATCTCCAGAAACATCTCTCATTTCCCATGTAAAGTTTGTACGCTAATTGAGGAAGTTAAACGAAAGATTTTCTTATGTACTTAATCTGCTTCTGCATCATAGGCACATTAGCAAAGTGATAAGTTTAAGTGGCGAGTCTCCCTTGGCACTGTGGAAATCAGCAATTTAAATTGATTTTAATGTCATGACAAGCATTTACGGACTCTCGAGTTAGTCAGACTGACTTTCTTTTGACCTTTTTACCCAATGATTCTTGCCAGTCGATTGGTAGATTGTTTGAAAATCAAATTTTAATTTAAAGCTTTAATGCATGCAGTGTAAGTGCCATTGTCCTTCGACTCTACGAGCCACTGTGTACAACGCTTTCTCCTTTATTTTTCAGTTGTCGCTATCTACTTCGAGGCACGCTCTCTGTCACCGACTATCAAAATGACTTCTATAATTAGACTTCAAGCACTCTCTGGAGCTATGGATGAGTCCCCTCATTGTTACATATTACAAGTAGATAATTTTGTTTTCCTGCTGGACTGTGGTTGGAATGAAAATTTCGATATGACGTTTATGAATGAATTGAAGAGGTAAATATCCAACAAATTTTCTAGAATTTAATTTGCAAAGAATGAAAGCCACTGGGATATTAAATGGGGCTCTCTGGGATCAGAGAATCCTGAAGGAAAATAAATGGAAAATTTACAGCGCTATCGTGAAGAGTGTCATTACGAATGAGAGTGAGGTCTGGTAGTTGAAGATAAGATTCGAAGATACCCAAAAGGCAGTCCAAATAGATTTTTGGCAGAGATCAGCAGGAATCTTGCAAAGAGAGCGTGTTTGAAATGATCAAGAGCGTGAAATAATGGGCATCGAGAATGGTAGGGTAGGTGGGGATGAGAGTACGCATTTTTTGGTTTTTCCCGTATTTTCGTGACCGAATTGACCTTAAGGCGGGAAAAGTGGTCAGGCACCCACTGCAAGCCCTTGTGCACAAATGTCCTGCATTGTCCGAATTTAGAAATCAAATCCACGGCCGTGACGAATTTTTTTAGTACACAGGTGAAATTTTTCTTTTAAAAACATCTCCTGGGCTCCAAATCGCTGTTAAATCCCGGAAAACGACTGAAACTGGTCTCAAAGGGTGCCAATAGTGCCTAACCACTTTTACTGTGAAAAAACAAATAATTCAGACTCCACAAGTTCCCAAAAAATTTTCGAAGTCAATTTTTTTTGAACAGGAAAATAAAAAAGTGTAATTGCTCAAATTAAACAAAGGAACATAAAAATTTATGAAGATACTTATTAAGTTGCCTATATCTTCTATTTTGAAGTTCCTATACTCCCTTCCCCCACTTTTGGGCGCGCACTTTTTTCCCATTCTGGCTGCGTACTCTTGCCCCATTTGTAAACATTGGACAACATAAACTAAAACTTTGAGCCCAAGGCGCAAGGTGTGAAAACAACCACGGATTATTAAAGCCAACACTATAACACTTTGATACAGTGCCTGTCAGATTTTCTCCGTCAACTATTTTACTCATAATAGACAATACAAATACTAAAAAAATCTATCTTTTTTGCATGAAATGTGAACTTGCCTTATAATTCCATCAAAACACATCCTTTACGCACAAAACTTTGTCAACAAGCGAAGCTAAATGTTGCCAACAACCAACACCTGGTGCCATCAGAAATTCAAACAAAGCGAGCGAAAAAAGTGCGGTGCGTATTTTTACCCCGTGCGTACTCTTACCCCCACCTACCCTACTGTGCACAATATCAAAACTAGGCAGCTGTCTTCGGTATGGACTTGTGCCAAGGATGGCAGATAGTCAAACCCCGAACAGTTGTACGTTTGGGTTCCTCTCAGAAGAAGGCGGCATAGACGTCCAGTAAAAGGCTGGCAGCAGGGAGTGGAGGAGGAGATCAGAAGGTGTTTAGTGCTACCTGATGATCTGTGGGAGGATCAACTCGAATGGCCGTTGGGAGTGGCGAAGTGATCTAGTGCGCTGGAGTAGCGGCTTGATATACACCTATATATATATATATAAATCTAACAGAAATCTGGTATTGAATGAAAGATAAATGAAGTCCAGATGGAATTCGCGCCATTATTTACTATTCTCTGTCAATATGCCATCCTCTTTACATTTTCACCTTTTCTCTTGCTTCCTAAGGAGACAGACACATAACTATCCAAGTGCTTCTCTTTTCCTCCACTGAATTTTCCTGTAACATATTTTGTAGGTCATTTAAGGGGCTTGGAGGACAAGGTGCACAAGTGAAGTTTGTGAAGAAACTGAGACATTAATGGTTTTAAGTAAAACAAGTCTTAATGCATATGTCCCAGGCAATTAGTCAAAACAGGCATTTTGTCAAATGTCTAGGCAAATAGTCAAATAATCTTACTCGGATTGAAATTCTGATTCTTATGCTAATTTTAGACAAAGTACTTATTCTCTCAAGTTGATAAGGAGTTTCTGTAACATTTGACATCATACAATTGTAAATAAATTAAATCTAGTCCTTGAATGATCTTTCATCTCGGGATTTTCAGCATGTCATATAATACCTACAGACTTTTTAAAATTCTGAAAGTTAAAATATATGAGGAGCATTTGGAGGGCATAATACAAGATAAGTCGGTAGTTTTGATGAATTATCACTTTCAAAACAATGGAAACTTAATAATTCTCCGTCAAAAACATACAAGTTTTTGTAAAGCATCAAAAAGTCAATTTGAACTTGAACTTTGAACTTGATCCTTGTAATTTCGAAACTTCTGACACCCGTGTATTTCTTGAAACAGCAAAAACTGCACTTATGCGCCTTGTCCCCTGAGCCCTTCATTTGCGATCAGTTTTATTGAGAGATCTGAAGACTTCATTTACATATGACAGTGCCTCATGAAGCAATCCTTTTAAATAGAACTTTTCAAACAGAGAAAGATTGAGATTTGAACTTTGTCTTTTGAAAGCAATTCGCTTACTTTACGGGGCAGCATGCACAAAATGAACTTAACAATGAGGCTCCGATACTTAAAAATTCTCAGCACTGGCCGAACATGGCACTTTAAAGAGTCAGCTACAACCTTTTCAGAATCCTTAAAACAGCAATCTGTTTATATATTTCAACTACTAATTTGCGCCCCTCGCAAAGTCTCATGTTTTATGGTGAGTAACATGTATGCAAAGAACAATTTTTGATCCCAAAAAATTGTAGATGACTCAGCCTGAAAAAGTCAAGGTGGCTCCTAAAATTTTACCCTAAAGTTGGAACACTGTTGGATGCAAAAATGTAGGAAAAAATGGATTCCCTCTTGAGCTTGTCCTCCAAGAATGATGAAAGTTGACAATGTCCAAGCACTTTAAAACTTTTCTAGAATTTTTGTATTTGGATGAAACTTATATTTTTGAAAAATGATGAGGACAGTCAAAAGGGCCTGAAAGAAGGACTAAATGGTGGAAATAAATTCAAATGAGATAACTTACTCTACAGCTCAAATGGATTGATTCTGTATCATTCTGCGCAAAAATGCAAATACTAGAAAATTCCAGAAATTGACCTCTCAAAAGCATTACTAAGTTAAAGAAGGATAACCAGAGAATTTCAGAAAAACAGAGAAAGTTTGTCAGCTCATGAGACAGTTCATTTCAAATATAACCATAGGGCTTTTTGTTTTTTTGTCATGATTTCAACTGAGAAAAACTATTACCTGGAAATTAAGTCAGCCTATTGAAAATTAGTTGTTAGATATATTATTTTATGTCACTATAAAGAGTACATGAATCCTCAGATGTAGCTTTTAGGTACATTAATTTTAATTAAATCAGTGTTTGAAAAGATCAAAAGATGCATGACCATAGATACATATAAACTGTTGTACTCTTTAAATTAAAAAGTTAATAAATTGGTGGAGTGAGACTCATTAAAGTTTTCATAATTCACCTGAGACTTAGTAAGATTGCATACATAATTTCAATAAGAGTAAATTGTTTTCTTTTTGCAGACATGTGAGTCACATAGACGCAGTATTAATCACCTATCCTGATCCACTCCATCTAGGAGCTTTACCCTACCTTGTCGGCAAATGTAATCTCAACTGTCCTGTCTATGCTACCATTCCAGTCTATAAGATGGGACAAATGTTCATGTACGATTTATATCAGGTTTGTTTTCTCATGTTACTTCTATCATTCTCTCCACTCAAATATGTGTAAATTCATCACTCTTCATCAAGAAAGGAACCCTGTTTTGAACCTAGATGTAGACGTAGCCTGCTTTCTAATTTCCTTTCTTGATTCATTTTTTTAAACAGGAAAGTAAATCTTAATTCTGGTTTGAAATTTTGTATTTTGTGTTATTCTTTTTAAACCAGGAAAAATATGCAAAAATTGTCAAGGCATGTGTTGTTGGTTACTCTGTGAAAAAAATAAAACTCTAGAAGAGATTATGTGAGATGCAGTTAGGCTGACTTGGGTTAAATTCGTTGAATTGCATCAACTTTTACGAGCCCCCTAAGAAAAGTTTTGTCGCACTAATGGGTAGTCCTTAGTACTTATTAGTAAAAGAAAATTATTGAAAAAGTCTCAAGCAAAAATTGCATTTTTGAAGCAATGAAACAAACTTGCCAAGTTTTCATTCATGCAAGAGAGAGAAAGATGAAATTAAATACTGTTTGTCCAAGTGGCTGTGTTGACAGTTTTTCCTTTTTCAGGCTAGACTTAACCAAAAATTTATTGCATGTGAAAGGAACAAAATGATAATACTTGTTAAGTTTACCAGGTCATCAATAGCCCATGAAATGCCAAAAGTCGAATCGATGAATAATAAATCATTCTCAGGAAATTTCAATCGGAACTGTTGGGTGATTTCGCCAAAAAATCTGAAAAATGAGCAGAGATTTACAATGTTAAAATCTGAAGGAGGAATGCATTTCCGATTTTAGCCATAAACATTAAAGACATGTGGAATAATGACGAACAACTTATTGTATTTTTATTTTCATTTTTTCTTCACTTTTTCAGTCAAGATATAATCAAGAAGATTTCACAGTTTTTGACTTAGATGATGTTGATGCTGCATTTGATAAAATGATCCAGTTGAAATATAATCAATCTGTACAAATGAAAGGTAATGTCATTTTTCAAATCACTAATACTGTTGAAAAAAATGTTTTAAAAGTTTTGAGTAGTGTTATTTTTTGTACTTCAAAATAAAAAAAAAATAAATAAAAAAAAAAAAAAAAAAAAAAAAAAAAAAAAAAAAAAAAAAAAAGACAAACATGCCAAGGAACTATCACTGTATTATTACATGCATTAAATGTCTGTATGGTATGCATCTCTCCAGGGATATTCAGTGTAGCTAGCAACATAGTATCAGATCAAGGACAGTTTCCATGATCTATACGTAGAATGCAACAGAATTGCGTCGTAAATGAATCTCTTCAGAGAATCGCATGCAGGGGAAATAAACAAGATAACAAGGAAACCTTTAATGGTTCAGCATATTTGTAGATATATCTCTGTAACTACTTTAAAGTTTGTTGAAATCTTGAAATTTTCTGCTTGAATGTCAACAAGGAGCCAGTCAAAAGTTTGAGTTGGAAATCTATTACTACTATCTATTACTATGCCATGAAGTGAAAGAATTAATCTCCAAATATTATTGCCTCATTAGTTTTTCATAGATTTTTCAATTCTAAAGTTTGTCTATCTGTGGGAAATTTTACCATAGCTGCATTTATTTACTCTTCACTGAAAAAAATTGTATGCTGTTTTAGCACCTAGGATGTCAAAAATGTGTCTGATGATCCCAAAATGCTGCCTCCACTACCCTTGCAGTTAACTTTACATCCTACAAATGCAGATGCAACTGCGTGGGCAATCAAAGTAGCATCTTAAGATGACCAGACACATTTTTGATATCCTAGGTGCCAAAACAGCATACCATTTTTATCGGTGTTGACGTGATTTTTTCTCCTATTTTTTGTTTAAATGTCCATTTAAAATTGATTTCAGGCAAAGGAATTGGCATTACCATCACACCACTTCTAGCAGGTCACATGATTGGCGGCACCATTTGGAAAATTATGAAAGTTGGAGAGGAAGACATCATCTATTCAGTTGACTTTAATCATAAAAAAGAACGTCATTTGAATGGCTGTGATTTTGAGAAACTTGGTCGGCCATCGTTGTTAATTACAGATGCATATAATGCGACTTATCAGCAAGAGAGGAGGCGTATTCGAGACGAAAAACTCATGAGTAAGAAGGCTGATGATCGTAGAATTTTTACTATTTTAATCAAGAATTTTGGAACAACATTTTGATGTATACATTTTTTTGGCAAAGCGATAAAAACTTACAACTTGAAAACATTTTGAAAAATGGGTCAGTTGCACCAGTCACAAAATCGTGTTTTTATGCTTGATTCTTATAGATCAGCTAAAAATAATAAGATTCATCCAAACGGCAACTCTTAACTTTCAACATCACCCGAGATATCGCGCTTTGAAAAATTCGGTTTATGACGTCATCCGCCGCGGTACTGACACCCTTGGTTTCTTCCACCTTGCTTTCATCCAAGTTTTATGTTCAGTAACCAGTGCAAATATGTGTCTCCCTGACTGATGAAACATAAGTGAAAGAAACCAAGGGTGTCATATCCGCGGTGGATGACGTCATTAATGGACTTTTTCAAAGTCTGATATCTCAATTAATATCCAATGTAGAAAGTTGCTGTTTGGATAGATCTTTAGCTGATATACAAGAATCAAGGATAAAAACACAATTCTGTGACCAGTGCAACTGACCCATTAGACATAGCCAAGAACAATCTACAAAGAGAGTCTTAAAAATACTTGTATCTGCTGAGGCACTTCATGAAGTACTTGTTGTTTCTTAAAATTTTAGAAGTACATCTCTTCCGCTGAGTGACTTCTAAGTCTCTTCATCTTCATTTTTATGACACACCAAAAACGGGAGATGCAGCTACTGAATTTTTAACAACATTTTCCTTCCCTGGAATTTTTCACTATACAATGCCTATCTTAAATCAAATTGAAATCTCTGTTTATCAGAAGTTGACATGAAAATTTAGACATTAATTTTAGAACATTCATTTGACCCAATGGCAAAGTCATCGGTGGCCAAGAAAGTTCAAGAAACAAAGATATGACCAGATTTATGAATCTCCAGCTTTTGGCTTCATCCCTCAGAGTATGCTCATGAGCAATAACACAATGGCGGATCGAGAGTGAGTTGGAGGGGGGGGGGGAGTCATTAGCTAATTGAATTTTAAGCAGTTTTAGCATACAATTGGGGCCTCATTTGAAAGTTGAAAATGAGCTTGTTCAGTAATTTGTAATTCTTGCATTTTTGAAAACTAGAGAGAACACATAGTTCACAGGAATTTTCCCCGATTTTTTTGAGGAATATGAAGCCACGAAATACGAGTTCAAAGTTCTGTATTTTGAGCTCCCATTTAAATGCGCGTCGCTCGTGTGATCCAAGATGGCGACCATTCTATCCGTCCGGATATCGGCAAACTTTTGAGCCCCCTCTACCTCCCTTGCTTCTGCTCTCTTGGACTACCACACACGGCAGAGGGAGCTCCCCGAGCTCGCGAGCTTAAAAGTGTGCCCATCGCTGGACGGAAAGAATGGACGCCATCTTGGATCACCCGAGTGACGCGCGTTTAAATGGGAGCTCAAAATATGAAACTTTGAACTCATATTTCGTCTCTTCATATTCCTCAAGAAAATCGGGAACTATGTGTACTCTCTAGTTTTCAAAAATGAAAGAATTACAAATTACTGAACAAGCCCATTGGCGAGTTGTACCTCTTTCGGCGCAATTTTATTTTAGTACTAGTCGTGATTAGCTCGCTTCGCGAGCTGACAAGTCTAGCCGGGGAGTGCCCCTGGACCCCAGTTCTACGCTTCGCGACGAACTTGCGACTCGCTCCGCGAGTCGCCACCGCCCCGCACAGTTTTTAACATTAATGAGGAGACAACATCTATGTCTTAATCTTCTTTTTCACCAATTTTTACAGAAATTGATGTTCTAGGAGTCCGGACCGCGTTTTCGTGCAGGGCCGCCATCTTGGATTTGGAAATGTTGAAAATCT